CGTCCGCCAGCAGCTCGGCCGCCGCCGCCGCGCCAGCCGCCAGCGCGCTGTCCTACATCCGATGGTAATCGGATGATCATCCGATGACCATCGGATGGCCACCCGATGACCATCGGATGACCATCCGGTGGCCATCGGATGACCATCCGGTGACCATCGGATGACCATCCGGTGACCACCCGATGACCATCCGATGACCATCGGATGACCATCGGATGACCGTCGGATGACCATTCGATGACCATCGGATGACCATCCGATGACCATCGGATGACCATCCGATGACCATCGGATGACCATCCGCTCCTCCTCCTCCTCCTCCTCCTCCTCCTCCTCCTCCTCCTCCTCCTCCCTCGTCTCCTCCTCCTCTCCCTCCTCCTCCTCCTCCGCCTCCTCCTCCTCCTCCTCTTTCTACAGTCCTGCGCCGTCTGCGTCGGGGCCTCGGCGCCGTATGAAAGGCCTTTTGGAAGCCTTCTCGCGACGCCGCGCTGTCCTAGCGAGCCGCGCGGGGGAGAGAAGGAGGAGGATGAGGAGGAGGAGAGGATGAGGAGGAGGAGGGGAGGACGTGGGAGGGGGAGGAGGAGGGGAGGAGGAGGAAGTAGAGGGAGGAGGGAGGGAAAAATGGGAGAGGAGGGAGGAGGAGGAGGAAGGAGGAGGAGGAGGAGGAGGAGGAGGATAGAAAGGCGGGGGAAGGACAAACGAAGAGAGAAGGAAGGAAGGAGGTCCCTGCGAGACCAGCCGCGGTCCTCCGCCAGCGCGAGCGGCCTGGTGCCACTTCAGCGCCCTCTGCTCCTAGGATGGCCCATTCAAATCCCTCCCTCCGCCTCCTCCTCCTCCTCACACCTCCCCTCCCCCTCCTCCTTCTCCTCCTCCTCCTACCTCCCCCTCCTCCTCTCCTCCTCCTCCTCCTTCCCTCTCCGTCCTCCCTCTGGCCGCGACGTGCCGTAAAGGGGGAGGATTGGTTTCCAAACACGTCCCTCCTCCCTCGTCTCCTCTTGTCCTCTTCTCCACTTATCCTCATTTTCCTCTTCCCCTCTTCCTCCTCTCCCACTTCTCCGCTTCTCCACCAACTCCTCCTCTCCTCCTCCCTCCCACCCTCCTCCTCCTCCTCCTCCTCCTCCTCCTCCTCCTCCTCCTCCTCCTCCTCCTCCTCCTCCTCCTCCTCCTCCTGCTCCTCCTCCAATCGGGCTCTTCGGCGCTCTCCGCCTCGACCTCCACCACCTGCGAGCTCGCAGGCGGGCGGTGCGTGCTGGCCCGCAGGGCCGCCATGGGGGTCGAGGGCAGGCCAGGGCGATCGAGGGCGGCAGCGCAGGGCCAGAGGGGGCCTCGAGCAGCGCGGCGCCCACGGCCCTGATCCTCTCCCCCCCCTCCTTTTTCTCTTCGTCCTCCTTCCCCTCCTCCTCCCCGTCCCTTCCTCCTCCTCCTCCTGCCCCGCTCCCCCCCTCCTCCTCCTCCCCTCATCCTACCTCCTCCTCCTCCTCCTCCTCTCCTCCTCCTCCTCCTCCTCCTCCTCCTCCTCCTCCTCCTCCTCCTCCTCCTCCTCCTCCTCCTCCTGCTCCTCCCCCTCGCCCTCGCCCTCCTCCTCGTGGGTTTTTGTTCAGGGGGGGAAAGCCTGGGGACCGAAAAAAAAAGCGAGCGAGGGAGCGAAAGAGGATTTTCTGACGCAGCTCGGAATCCGAGCGACAACTATGCGTTCTTAAATCGGAAAATCGGAACGAAAAGGGGAAAATCGGAAACGGAAAAAGGGAAAACGGAAACGAATACCGGAAAATCGTGGACACACGCTTTTTTCTCAAAAAATGGAAATATAACCCCCTTCTGGGATATACTGCAATAGATTTGTTTTTAAATACTCGACCCCCCCCGGGACTATCCGTTCCCATTTTCGCATTGAAAGGTACATGCAATTCTGCCCCATCGCCCCTTCTGAACGAAAAATAAACCCGTACCATCCCAACCGAACCAGTATCGCCCCCCCACGCCATCCCTCTCAACAAACTACAGTGCGCGCGCATTCGTTTGTCGAAAATCATTCGTGTCCAAGAGCCCGCTGCAACATAAAAACCGGACGAAATGTGCACGCGCGCGTTGTCGCGCGCGCTGTCGCGTGCGCGTGCCGAAATCCTTCAAAAAACCGTCGGTTCTGCAAGGGGGTTCCATTAAAACAGAAAAACACAGCATCTCGCAACGCAGACTTTCACATAAAACTTGCGCGGGCGCTCTTGCGAATTCTTTTTGCAACCATACATGTTCCATCACGTTCACTGAATGCTACCGAACGGGCTTCGCGCGCGCATCAAGAAATCGTCCGAACGCCCTTGCACGCGTGCCCTCGCGAGAATGTTTCCGTTGCGGAACAAATGGCCCGAAGAGCACGCGCGCGCGTCGTCGCTCGCTTGCCGATATCCGCAACAAGCCGTCGGCTTCGTAAGGGCTCCAAGCCGAGCGTCGAAACAACCTATTTGTTTTGTTTTTAAAACGGTTTCGCAACGCCAGTTTTCAAACAAACGTGCGCTCGCGCTCTTGCAATTCTTGTATAGGGTCCCAACATGTTCATGGAACTCTGCGAAACGGGCCTTTGGCGCCGCGTTCAGGCATCATTCGCACGCCTTTGCGCGCGCGCTGGGGGGCCACGATCCGTGTCAACGAGTACCATGTGGGCCTCTCTCGCGCGTGTCGGCCGCGCGCGCGTCGAACTCTGTTCAACACCTCCATCACCGACGCGAAGACGCCGTCATCGTCGTCGGCGTGATCAGCATCGGCCCCCGTCACCGGCTGCCCCGTCGTCGCTGTCAGCATGGTCGCCAGCACCGCTACTAGCATCATCGTGTCTACCGTTGTCGACGTTGCCATGATACCGTGCCCGCCCAAGTCGCCGACACGCACTGAACTGACCTCTGGGATGTGCCGAGCGGTCACCGCCACCGCGTTCGCGTCGGTCGCGCCGAACTAGCTGGCCGCTGCGCGGGTCAGTGCGGCCGCAGAGATGCACCAGCCAACACGAAACCCTCATCGCAATCGCTTCCGCAAGGGTTTTGCAGACCAAGTTGCTGGTGGGTGGGTGGGTGGATTGCGCGAGCAGTGGGGTCGACAACTTCAAGTTCGGCTAGGTGAACTCTCGTTTCTAAAAAGAGAATAGACTCTACCCCCCCCCGGCGTCCCCCGCCCCCCATTCGAGTATGTAAACCATATACGATTCTGACCACATGTCCATCCGAAATATGAATTTACACGATCCCCGGGAAACCGGTATCGGCCACCCTGAGGTTCCCTTGTACAAAAACGATGCGCGGGGGGATCTTTTGCTCGAACATAAGACTTGTGAAATGCACACGCGCGCGTCGTCGCGCGCGCATGCCGGAATCCTTCAAAAACCTTCGGTGCCGGAAGGATTTCGCAATCGAGCTTCAAAACAACATACAAACACACATGGTTTCGCAACACGGATTTGCTAAAAAAGTTTACGCGCGAGCTCTTGCGAAATCTTCAGAAAACCATTGGATTTTCAAGATTTTCACAAAACGCTACCAAACGGACTTCGCGCGCGCGCATGTCGAAATCTGTCGAACGCCCTTGCGCGTGTGCCGTCGCGGGAACCCTCTGCAACAAAAATGGAACGAAGTGCAGACTCGCGCGTCGTCGCGCGCGTATGCCGAAATCCTTCAAAACCCATCGGTGTCGGAAGGATTTCAAAATCGTGTGTCCCAAAAACCTACAAAAACATAAGGTTTCGCAACACGGAATTTCAAGAAAAACGTGCGCGCGCGCTCTTGCGTCGTCGTCGTCGTCGCCGTCCTCCCTCCTCCCGCGTCGTCGTCGTCGTCGTCGCCTACGTCGTCCTTTGTCTTGCCTCGTGTTCGTCGTCGTCGTCGTCTTTGGCGTCGTGGTCGTTTCCGTCGTCGTTGTCGCCGTGGTCGTCCTTCCTCCTCCTCCCTCGTCGTCGTCGTCCGCCGTCGGCGTCTCGTCGTCGTCCCTCCTATTTCGTCGCCGTCGTCGTTGTCGGTCGTCGTCGTTGTCGTCGTCGTCGTCTTTCCTCCTCCCTCGTCGTTGTGTTCGTCGGCGTCGCCGTCCTTCCTCCTTCTTCGTCGTTCGCGTCGTCGCCGTCCTCCCTCCTCCCTCGTCGTTGTCGTCGTTGTCGTCGTTGTCGCCGTCGTCGTCCTCCCTCCTCCCTCGTCGTCGTCTTCGTTGGCGACGTCGTCGTCGTCGTCATCGGCGTCGGCGTCGCCGTCGTCGTCGTCGAAGTCGTCGGAGACGTCGTCGGTGTCGTCGTAGTCGTTGTCGTCGGTGTCGTCGTAGTCGGTCATAAGAGGTATGCAAACCAAGCTGCGGGTGAGTGGGTGGGATGTTTGCAAGCGCGTGGGATGTGCCACATAGATTGCACCACATAGATTGCGCGACATAGTTTGCAACACATAAACCTGTTCACATAGGTAAAACAAATGGCACCACATATATTGCACCACATATATGGGACAACATATATAGCATGCACCACAAATATTGTACCTCATAGGTCGCACCACTCCCACTGCACAACATGGGGTGCACAACGTAGGTTGCACAACACAGGTTGCATTATATAGATTACACCACGTAGACTGCTCCACGTAACCTGCACGACATACATGGCTAAAAAGGCACTGATTTGTCTCCACACGTGCTAACTTATACTAACTCATGGAGAGAGGGGCAGAGAGAGACAGAGAGAGAAAGAAAGAACAGACGAGAGAAAGAGGTAAACAGCGAGAAAAAGAAAGAGAGATAGAGAGAGAAGGAGAGAGAACAAGCCAACAGTTGCACATGAAAAAAAC